GTTCCAAATGAAGCATGGCCTGGTCCTGCACCATCCTCACAATCTTGCTATGTTTGAATCCATTGTGGCAGCCTCTGTGTCAATCTATCTCATTGAAGGTCTTTCTCTTTTTTGCCGACCCTCTAGTTTACCAAGCGTACTGTGCATTCCCAGGAACTGCTCTCTCCTGATAACATGCCCAAAGAACATGAGATGAAGTCTCACCATGTTTACTTCTGAGAAGCATTCTGGCTGTACATCTTCCAAGACAGATTTGTTCATTCTTCTTGAAGTCCATTTGTTGTTGTTGTAATGTGCCGTTGAGTTAGACCTGACTCATAGTGACCCCTCCTTGGGTTTCTGAGGCAGTATCACTATGGAAGTAGATTGCCCAGCCTTCCTTCTGAGAAGTGGCTGGTGGGTTTGAACCTCCAGCCTTCTGGTTAGCAGTCAAGTGCCTTAGGCACTATGCTCCCAGAGCTCCTGAGGCAGTCCATATGGAGGCAGTCCATATTACGTTCAATATTCTTCAGCAACAGAATAATTCAAACGTATCATTTTTTCTTTATTTTTCCTTAGTCACTGTCCAGCTTATACACACATATGAGGAGAATTAGAATACCATGGCTTGCGTTGGGTGAATTTTAGATCTCAAAGTGACATGTTTGGTTTTTAACACTTTAAAAAGGTCTTTTCCAGCAGATTTGCCCAGGGCAATATGTCGTTTGATTTCCTGACTGCTGCCATAGTGCTTAAGGAATTTGACTGCTAACCAGAAGGCTGGTGATTCAAACCTATGAGCCACTCCTTGGAAGAAAGGTTGGGCAATCTACTTCTGTAGTGGTACCTCCTCAGAAACCCAAGAAGGGGTCACTGTGAGTCAGATCTGACTCCATGGAAGTGGTTGTGTTTTTTGCATTGCTTCCATGGGCTTTGATTGTGGATACAAGTAAAATGAAGTCCTTGACAGCTTCAATCTTTTCTCTATTGTGGTGTTACTTACTGGTCCATTAGTGAGGATTTTTGTTTTCTTTATTTTGAGACATAATCTGTGCTGAAGGCTATAATAATTTATCTTCATCAGTAAGTCTTCTTCACTTTAGCAAGTAAGGTTGTGTTCTCTGCATATCTCAGGTTGTTAATCAGTCTTCCTTCTATCCTAATGCCTCATTCTTCTTGATATAGTCCAGCTTCTCAGATTATTTGCTCAGGATATAGATTGAGTAAATATAGTGAAAGGATAAAATCCTAATGCATACCTTTCCTAATTTTAAAACATGCTTTATCCCTTTGTTCTGTCTGAATGATTATCTCTTGGTCTATGTATAAGTTTCTCATAAGCACAATGAAATGTTCTGGAATTCCCATATTTTGCAACGTTATCCATAATTTATGGTCCACATAGTCACATGCCTTTGCATAGTAAATAAGACAGCTCAACATCTTTCTGATAAGTCTTTGCTTTTAGCCAAGATCCATCTGACATCAGCAATGAGATCCCTTCTGAAGCTGGCTTGAATTTCTGGTAGTTCCCTGTCAATGTACTGCTGTACCTGTTTTGAAGTTATGTTTCAAAATTTTACTGGTTATATTAATCATATTGTTTGATAATTTCACATTCTGTTGGTTCACCTTTCTTTGGAATGGGCACAAATATGGATCTCTTACAGTCTGTTGGCCAGGTAGCTGTCTTCCAAATTTCTTGGCATGAACAAGCGAGCATTTCTAGAGAGGATAGTCTATGGTAACTCCAGGAAAGCAGGTAGGATGTCTCTATTACTTTCTATATCCTCACTGTACCCCTTAGTATATGTATACAAAAAAAATCTTGAAGTTCTTAAAGGGAAATACCTTGGGATGAGGAGGGTAGGTTATGTGAATTTATGATGATATTTCAGATTATAAATTATTCATATTAGAAATTTTTTACTGCTTTTCTAATCATAAAGTACCAAAAAAGATTTTTATTTTTTTATTATTTTTAAAGAACTATTGTCTGTAATCAGAGTCTTCTTAGATTTAAGAACTTTATTCAGGAGAATGTTTTTAGTTTTTGGTGGTCTAGTCTGTATGTTAAGTGAAAAATATCACCCTATCTAGGCTGACAAATGGAGAGATGGTTATGCATTTGATATGCATCCTTCTACCCCTGCTCAGATGCCTCAGATTCTCTTTACTTTTTCTTCCAATTCCTGATTCAAACTAGCCTTGTAACTAGCCACTGTTGTCATCAACACATACAAACAACAAAAAAAAATGAAGTATGTCTCATGCAATACTTAGGACATATTTATAGTAAAATAATTCACTGTTTATCTAAAATAAGGCACTTATATTGTTTTGTTCTTTTTTGTCTTATTTTCTAAACTTAAATTTAGATTTTTTTTTCCTCTAAATTCAAATTTAATTGTGGGTACTGTAGTTTTATTTACTAAACCTGGCAGCTCAAGTTACAGGACAAGGCCATTCTAAGCTGGGGTTGGAGGCAGTAATGTGAAAACACCAACTCCTCTGTTATAGACATGGTTAGGTTCCAAAGACCAGGTCATTATGTAAAAATTTGCATTATGCACACACACACAAACACACAAACACAATCTGACCACATCACATCATAAAATGGAGGATGACTACATCATTTCGTAACTGCCAAATTATCCCATTACATAACTGCCAAATTGCATCATTATATACCTGCCAAACCACTGAGAATCATGACCCAGTCAAGTTGAACATAAGCGTAACCATCAAAGTCAGCATTTACTCTTGCCTCTTACTTCAGTGTTCACCACTGCCAAACATACATTAATAATGTGAAAAATAGTTGGATCCATTTTTTGCTATAGTCATAAATACAAAATGTCAGATAATGAGATAGTAAGTAAGGAATGGGTGTACAGTTTTAAGACTGAAAACAAACAAAAAACATTGTAGGATTTAGTTTCCAGCAGTTACTAGTTGAATGATTCTAGACAAATTGCTTGATATCTCTGAGTCAATTTCCTCGTTTCTAAAATAATATAAAATATTACTTATCCTATTTCGCTTTCATTTTCTGCTTTGAATTTTTTGTTGATACCATGGCTTTTCAGTAATGGAAGGCATGTTGAAATCAAGGGAAAAAAGTGTTTTGGATTTTTTTTTTTGACGTAGTATGGATTTTGATACAATTATGTGGAACATATATGTTCCAAGCGGATTCTGGTGGTAGGATTGGTGGAGTGAGCATATACTACAAGTGGGATAGCAGGTTGTCAAGAAACCTGACATGCTGGAAATATTGGCAGGCGATATATGTGCCACAGGTCACAGAAAAGTTAAAGCTCTGTAACTGCTATGAAAGAAAAGTTTAATATACCATCTTCCAATCACTTTGAAAATCCTCTTTTACTCTCCATTTCAGTGTTTTCACAAACTTGCTAGCATAAACTAATATATAACCTTGTTGCACACTGATTTTTGCCCCTATTCTTTTGAAAATGAAAAGAAAATCTAAACAAAAAGCAAGTTTGCTAAAAAAAAAAATAATACTGTTACAATAATAACCTATTTTTTAAATTTTAGTGATAGGACAGGAAGGAAAAAAACTGTATGGAGGGAGTTGAATGAAACTATTACACTTTCAGGGAGCTCTGGTAGCATAGTGGCTAAAGCACTTGACTGCTAACCAGAAGGCTGGCGGTTCAAACCCACCAGCCACTCCTGGGAAGGAAGGTTGGGCACTCCTCAGAAGGAAGGTTGGGCACTCCTCAGAAGGAAGGTTGGGCAATCCTACTTCCGTAGTGATACTGCCTCGGAAACCCAAGGAGGGGTCGCTATGAGTCGGGGTCAACTCGATGGCAGTTAACAACAACAACATTACACTTTCAAGGTTATTTACAAAGTTAGATACCTTTTGGGGTGTAAATCATTCTGGAAATTTACAGGCATGTAGAAATTGAAATAGAAAGGCCATGAAATCACGGGACAAGGTAGTTTAGGCCAATCAGTTACCTTCGCTGGGCACCAATGTCAGTAAACTGGAAAGCCATTTGTTCAGATGGCAAACTATTCAGTCAGCCACTCCTGCAGTCTGGTGAAGAGATCTACTAATCACATTGTCCCCTTTACCATAGGCACTAAGGACAAATTTCTCTCATCAATGTTGTTGTTGTTACGTGCCCTCCAGTCGGACCAACTCATAGCGACCCCTCCCTGGGTTTCCGAGACGTTATCACCACGGAAGTAACTCCTAGTCCAGCCCTTGATGCGTACCCTGCTTTTCCAGTTTATCAGTTTACCAAAACCAACCAACCAAAGCCACTGTCCTGGAGTCCAATTCTACTCATAGTCACCTTATAGGACAGAGCAGAACTGTCCCCCTAGGGATTCCACAGTTTCAGACAGGGATAAACACACGGAGGAGGTGGGAGAGGAACAGTAACATCGGGGGGATCGTAATCAGTGGTATGAAACAAAATGTGTATGAATGGTTGAATGCAAAACGAATCTGCTTTGTAAAATTGCACCAGAATCACAATAAAAAGTTTATATATGTATATATATATATAAACAGCAGACAAGTGAAAAAAAAAAAAACTTTACGGAAGCAGAGTGTCACATCTTTCGCCCACGGAGTGGCTGGTGGGTTTAAACTACCGATAATCCAGCGCTTTAAACCATTGCACCATCAAGGCTCCTGTGCTCTGCTTCTGATAAATCAAATATCTCAATCACGTTGCACTGCTGTGAGCTAACTCTGTTCTCAGCCTAGCTTCACAGCGTACAGAGGGGCGTACTGCGCGGTGACGTCACGGCGTCGCGTGCGCTCGCCGCCTCAGCCCTCTTAGCCTGCCCCGCCCCCCGCCCAGCTCAATGCCAGGGGCCGCTGGGGGGCCAGGTTCCTTGGCAACCATTTGCTCCGCCCCCTCCGGCCCTTTAACCTTTAGGGTGCGCGGGCACCCTGTCCCTAGCACTCGCTCCCTTTTCCTCCTCCCCTTTCCCCACCCCTTCGTTCGGGGCAGGCCTGGCCGGAAACGAAGATGGCGGCGACATTGGCAGCTAGCGCTGCTTCGGCCGAGCTGGTGATCGGCTGGTGCATATTCGGGCTCTTACTACTGGTAGGGGAGGCGCTTGGAGTTTCTCCAATGTTTGGACTGGTGGGAGGGAGGGAGGAGCCGGTTTTCAGCTGGCCTCTCCTGGCCCTGGAGACCCTCATCGCCCCGCCCCACCTGTAGCAGGGACCGGGAGGAGGTGGTGGTGGGGGGACTCTTTTGCGCTGGGAAGAGGGGCGCGGCGTTGGGAAGGTGGCAGGGTAGTGATTTGTGGCCGCTTTTGCTTTCTTTTCCCTGATGATGTCTAATGTTTCAGGTTTCTTGCCCGTACCCCTAACTAGGAAGCTGAAGTCTGTGAGGATTGGCGACAGAAGAGACCCTACGGGGTGCAAAGAGTGTGACTACCACCCTGGTCCTCTGTTAAACTGGGGCACTAGGCCTGGGGGCTGCAATGCGAGATCTTTGCGAGCTCAGTAGATGTTGATGTTGATGATTAGGAAGAGGGTCTCTTGTTCTCCAAATGCCATTTTTTATGTTACTTAGCCCTTGGGTCAGTGAGTTCTCTAACCTCCTCTGCCCATTGTGCGATTCTGCTTTGACGACGTGAGTTGCTCATTATGACTTCCAGGTTTCAACTCTCCTCCAACCTCTGCTGTATATCGGAATATACTACTAGAAACCTAATTCTTCATACTTGTTTTCCACCCATATTATTCTTGCATATGCAGTAATTTAAACAAACTGTGGTAGTTATGTTTGTGTGTCAACTTGGCTGGGCCCTGGTTGAGTGGCTGGGCAGCTGCATGTAGTATTCCCCATGATGAGACTGGTAATCAACTCCATGGTGGAATCTACTGTGAGCAGCTGAGTAGCTGCCTTA